CACATCCTTGACCATTACGAGTACATCTTCCTGGTTCGGTTATGAGGCTTCTTCCGGTGGTCTGGCTTACCTTTAAAATGCTTTCCTTTTTTTCTTACTTGGTGATTCAAAGGAAGGAATCGACGATGGCCAAGGTACATGACCTTTCGACATCTTTTCAAATATATACTATCAAGGTCATCAAAACAATGTGTGCATGCATTATATCCTTTGTTTGTCTGACCTGAAAGATTACTTAAAGCAGGCCAATCATTGATTGTTACGAACAACATTGCTTGTAGGTCAAAGTGTTCTTGTTTGTACTCATCCCAGACACGTACACCTGGTTTGTTCCATAAAACTAGAAGTTCTTCAACTAATGGCTTCAGATAGACATCAATGTTGTTGCCAAGTTGCCTCAGACCTTGGATAAGGATCGGCATCATAATGAACTTCCGCTTCATGCATAACTATGGAGGAAGGTTGTAGATACATAGAGTAACTGGCCAAGTACTATGACTTGTGCTCTGCTCCCCAAAAGGATTCATACCATCTGTACTTAAGGCGAACCTTAAGTTTCTAGCCTCATTTGCAAACTCTGGAAATTCCCTGTCTATCACTCTCCACTGGGACCCATCAGCTGGGTGACTCAGCATATTGTCTACCCTACGGTCTTCTTTATGCCACCGCAACAACTTTGCATGGTCTTTATTTCTGAACAAACGTTTTAAGCGTGGTATTATAGGAGCATACCATATAACCTTGGCAGAGATTTTCTTTCTAGCACATTGTTCACCCTCGACGTCACCAGGATCATCGCACCTAATCTTATACCGCGATGCTTTACATACTGGGCATTTATCCAAATTCTCGTATTCATTGCCATGGTAGAGGATGCAGTCATTAGGACATGCATGTATCTTCTGGATTTTTAATCCCAAAGGGCAGACAACCTTTTTTGCTTCGTACGTAGTGGTGGGCAATTCATTTGGCTTCGGAAGCATCTTCTTTATGAGGTTCAATAAATTCCCAAATGCCTTGTCGGATACACCATTCTTTGCCTTCCACTGTAGCAATTCCAGTGTTGTACCTAGCTTTTTTTGCCCCTCTTCGTCCATCAGGTATAGCAACTTCCTATGATCCTCAAGCATGCGCTCAAACTTAACTTTCTCTTTTTCACTTTCGCATTCTTGTTGTGCATCACGAATGGCATCGCCAAGAGCATCACCAAGATCATCTTCTACCGCTACCTCTTCATCTCCCCCCATTGTAGTATCATCAAATGCACCATACTGAGCAATAATGTCATCAATGTCTAAATCTTCTCCTTCACCTTCTTCCATCATGACCCCGCTTTCTCCATGCTTAGTTCAACATATATAGTTTGACATGAAACCTGACTTAAGCAAATGTGAATGAAGACTCATTGAGCTTGAATATTCCTTTAAATTCTTACATAGGGCACATGGACAGCACATGAAACCATCCCGCTTATTTGCCTTGGCCACTCCTAAGAAATAGTGCACGCCCTCAATAAAGTCTTGGGAGCGGCGATCGGCATTATACATCCAATGGCGTGACATAATCTGCATTATACGACAAATTATGAAAACCTTGAACATAATTAAGTATTTTATTACACAATATAGATGACACACACACGATTGATTAATTAACTAAGCCTGGCTACAACGTAAGCAATCCCAGCTATCACTAAACAAACTAAAACTACAATGCACTTCAGTAACATAATTATTTTGTGACCGTACGCAACTAAAACAGACAAATCATTCGTCTGTTGAATATCAATAAGCTTCTCCTGCTGGCTTACTGCCTCATCATCAGCAGCCGCTACCTCAAGCGCACCCGAATTCTGCACGTATGTAGCATAATCTTCCTCCCAGTACCAACCATCGCATCCATTGCCCTCCCACTGAAATTAAAGCCAAAAAATATTTAGTCAAAAATATTCAAGAAAAGCAGGTCAATTAGCCATAATAATCGAATGCGTAAGAAACTCACATCGCGATCCAGGCACTTGTAGGAAACATGACCCTTGTTGGGTCCCTGTCTCTTGACTCGGTACTCCATCACAATCTTCTGCTTACACTTGCCGCAGATAATGAGAGAGAGTTCTGGCCTCAGTCGTTTCGCAACCGAACGAGAGGCCGAGGATCCGGTACCAGTTGTCATCTACTTTCTATACTTATTTTTACAAACTAGTGTAAATTTCATATTTTCTAAAATAATATATTTAAACAAAACTAAAATTATTTATTTATCTAGCTAAACCATGAAATATGTACTATGTATAATAGTAAAATACCAAACTATCAAGTGATTTTACTATTGTAAATCATTATGTGATTTTGAGCTAAAAATGACATAGAAATCACATAGCTCAAAAACATGTTTCAATAAATAATCATCCGTACTAGTTGACCTTGCTTACGTGATCATCTCGGCGAGCATTTCTCCATCGGACGGCACCGTACTTGGCCAAGGAAGAGCTCCGATTCTACGAGGAAGGGAACACGGTCTTCCACGACCGTTGCCGCTCTCCCTCGTAGAATCAAAGCTCCTCTTTGACGTCCTTTACCGCTCGGCAGAGAACATGCTCGCCGAGATGAACACGGTCCGCAAGTTCAACTAGTACGGATTTTCTATAATTTTCTAAGTATTTTCTAAGTTTTTCATTTCATGGAAAATTTAATTCTAAGATCACATAAGATTTTGATGAACTAATTTAACTTTTGTTTATCCAAACATATATGCAAATCATCATGTGATTTTGAGCTAAAAATGACATAAAATCATAATAAAGTCCAACATATAAAGTTACACATGCATCTACATCGCAAAATGAGATAAGCTACTGATAAAACATAAGAGGATTAAGTTTGTTACCTCCAAAATCAAAGAGCAACACCAATGGAGGGGGAGAGAGCAAGAACAACAGCAAGATGAAGAACAGAGACAGTGAGTTTGAATGGAATGGCTCGGGCTCGGGGAGGAAGAAATGAGCTGGTTTATAGGCCGGGATAATTAGTCCCGGTTAGGGGCCTAAACAGGGACTAAAGATTAATCTTTATTCCCGAAACATCACCCAAACCGGGACTAAACGATTTAGTCCCGGCTGGTATTACCACCTTTAGTCCCGGTTGGTAATACCAGCCGGGACTAAAGATCTCTGCCCCGTGGACGACCGTTGGGCAGGAACCTTTAGTCCCGGGGGAAAAAAATACCGAGGCTAATGCCAAATTAGGACATCGTTCTAAAGTCTGTTCTCTAGTAGTGATAGTAACACTTTCTCCCTTGCAGCAAGCTCAGTCCCGAACGGTTACTACCTCTCCACTACTCTCTCCTCAACCCCGTCCGAGCACACCTTCTCGGTGACGAATGTTTATGCGCCTTCCTATCACAGAGGTTCTCTAGCCTTTCTGTCACAGCTTGTGGAACTTGCCCCTACCCTCACTAGCCACTGGCTCCTCACCGGGGACTTCAACCTCATTCACTCCTCTTTAGATAAAAGTGTCGAGGATTCCTTTAACTGTCGGCAAAACTTTCGCCGACTGCTTCTACCGTGATTGTTTCTAAACTGTCAGCAAAACTTTTCATGGGAGGCTATCTGTCGGCAAAGGTGCCCTTTGCACACTTTAGAAAGTGTCGGCAAAGGTATGTCGTGTTATAGTGTGTTGATGTTGAACTTAATCTATGATGTTGATGTTGACCTTAAGTAAGATTTAATCTTTGATGTTGATGTTGGTTGTTTGCACTTTTGTGATATACACCAAGCCATTAAGTATTGAGTCATATATGTATTATATACTAATTAATTAAGTTGTATACATGTATAGCGTAACGTAAAAGTAATCAATACTAAATGGAAAATAATTAAAGGAAAATGAAAATACATGTACAACACAACATAAAACAAAACAATACAAAAGGAAAAGAAAAAAAACAAAGTACTTATTAATACCGGTGGATAATACCAATGAGGCCACTCCCGCATGCGCGGGAGCGAGGTCTTTTAGTACCGGTCTTATTAGTACCAGGTGGCCGGCCCGATACTAATAGCCGAGACTTTTAGTCTCGGCTGACCAATACGGGTTGGGAAACCGGTACAAATGAGGTTTGCCAACCGGTATTGATGGCCTATTCCCAGCCGTGTATGTACCTATCGGCTATCCGAAGGCCGACAGGACTCCTATCGGATATCAGTAGCCGACTGGATACTAGATTTGCAATTCTCTTTTTTCGACATTTATTTCTGCAATTTCCAATTAAAATACTACTACTTAAATTAAAAAATTCCATAGCTTATGTATGAACGTGGCTTATTACATACAGCGTGCTTGTATTCTTGTGGTTCAGTTAATTTGCCGCTCAAGTTTGGCCCACCTTAAAAGTTCAATTCTGTCCCTTTTTCGGTCACCATGGTCCTCTGTCGTCCTCTGTCGACTCGATAGAAACATAAATGATGTTTTTCTGATAGTTGCTTTAATTGGTAGGATGTTGTGCTTGTTTGGTGACGGGGAAGGCTTCAGTTGTTGTAATCTCAATTTCTTGGCTGTTTCTTCTTCTACTACTAATAAATATTACTGCAAATTAAGCTCTTACCGTTCTTCTTCTTCTAAACGAAAAAAAAAAGAGAGAGAGAAGCGTCGAAGGACCGGCGGCTTAGTCGTTCAACGACGAAGATTCGTTTTGATACTTTCAGGACACATGTATGTATAGGTCATTGTCCGGTACCGCACGAAAGTTAGTGGTACTATGGTGTAGAATTTTCTTCCCCACGACGACTCGTCACTCGATCAGTTGAACCACAAAAGAGTACAATAATAAGAGAGCTCGTTAGGAAGGAAACGCCGTGCACGTAGGGAGGTGGTCGTGCGGTGCCACTTAAAAATGGCCGGCCGTTTTTAAGTCTTTGCCGTGTTCACAGCTGCTTAATACACATCTGCAGGCACTGGGGCACCTCATGTCACGACGTGTGCCTGAAAAACCTTCAAGCTATCATGGCCTCGGCTGCAAAGAGCAGCAGCAGCGCGCAGCTCCTCCTCCCCTTCCTCCTCATTTCCACTTCCTTTCTCCTACCCTTATCCTTAGATGCTCAGAAAACTAACAATAGTTCTGTACAAGTAGACTCATCACCACCCCCGCAATTCTCCTTCAGCTTCGACTTCTCCAATGGATCCAGCTACGCAAGAAGCGACATCCGGCTCGAGGGCAACGCGACGGTGCAGGGAGATAAGGTTGATCTCACCTGCGACAACTCGGCCGGGAGCGGGAGCATGAGCAACTGCGTGGGTCGGATGTCGTACAACCACCCGGTGCCGTTCTACGACGACGACATGACCCTGGCGAGCTTCAGCACAAGCTTCACCTTCGCCATCAAGCCCAACGACATGACTAAGCAGGGGGACGGCATGGCGTTCTTCCTCTCCGGTTACCCGTCAAGGATGATGCAGGAGTACTACAACGGGGCGAACCTCGGCCTCCTCGGCGAGGCCTTCGTCGCCGTCGAGTTCGACACGTTCAAAAACTATTTGGATCCCAGCGACTACCATATGGGCATCGACATCAACTCCCGTGTCTCCACCAACACGACGGTCCTGGCAGCCCTGGAAGGCACCATGACAGCGACGATCCGATTTGACAACATCACCAGGATGCTGGTGGCGTCCCTCCGGTTCCATGACAATGCCTCTATGGAACCCGCTGTGGTCAGTTATGTGTTGCAAGATCCAAGGGCGTTGCTTCCGCGGGAAGTGGCAGTGGGGTTTTCGGCGGCCACCGGCAGATATACCGAGCTCCATCAGATACTCGCATGGTCCTTCAACTCCACTCTCGCTGCTGCTGCTCCGACCCCACCGAAAGGTATGCCATATATATGTGCACGGGACGCACTCCTTGTTCTTGAATCTTGACAGAAGCACTAAATGCTTGGGGTGGGGGGGGTGCTTTCTGAGTTTTCGGCCCTTAAGAAGGTTGTTGTATGATTTTTAAGATTTGTCATGGGCTTACTTAATAACTAGGGCTACTTTTTTTCTTGATATTTTTTCTCAATTGGTCAAGGGTGAAATCTTACTATTACTAATTGGAGCATCCATATTAATCCTCAAGGACGTGCTAAAAAAAGAGACGAAAAAGTCCAAATTAATCCCCCTCCCAGGCCCCCGCCAAAGTCCAGATAACCTTTAAACTATTTTTTTTTTGGTTCAATTTGCTCTCAAAGCTATTAACCAATTGATTATTTTTGTTAATTATCATGTAAGGATGGCAAGCGGATAATTATGGCAGACGACGCAAGAGCATAGTTGTGGCCATCGCCGTGGTTGCTCCTATACTCGCATTGTTTATCTGTGGCATTGTTTCCATCAAATTCATCAAAAGGCTCAAAAAAGGTCAGCAATCTACCAAAAAATGCTATTAAAAATACTTCACTAACATCGAGCTTTCTGTTTTATTCCAATGCTATAGCTAGCATCATCAAGTTTAACTGAAAACATCGCACCCAACACTGATTCTAGGTAAAGGTTCACAAGACAAGGGCGAGGTGAATGAAAAAGATGAAGCACTAGTTTGGGTGGCAGGACGGAATTCTGAGTTCACGGTTTATGACTTTTTGCATGTCTTGGAGGCTACAAATAGCTTCTCAGAAGAAAATAAACTTGGGCAAGGAGGATTTGGTCCAGTATATAAGGTAAGAGAGAAAAAAAGTTGTATGCATTGAGAACACAAAAAGAGATAGAGAACAAACCAAGTAAAGTACTAGTCTAGGCCATGTTTGGGATGAAAGGGAGGTTTTTCCCTGATATTTTCTCTTATTAAATCACCATATTTCTATCTCCAAACAGGCTTTTAAATGTTATGCAAGGAACTGTACTGCTTATTGCCTTTATCATCAGGTTAATCAATTGTTAAAAGACAGCTGAATTCAAAGAAATATCATTGACCAAACTCTTTTGAACTTCTATGTAGGGCCGATTTCAAGATGGATTGGAGATAGCCGTTAAGAGACTAGCTTCACATTCAGGGCAAGGGTTCAGAGAGTTCAAAAATGAAATCGAGCTCATAGCCAAGCTCCAGCACACAAATCTGGTTAGGCTCTTGGGATTTTGTTCTCAGGGAGACGAGAGATTACTAATCTATGAGTATATGCCAAATAAGAGCTTGGACTTCTACATTTTTGGTAGTACTTCTCAAACATACCAGATATAGTACAAACATTGTTTAGTGCCAACAGCTAAAGGATTTTATCTTATGTCTATGCTTAACTGATTTGCAGATGAAATACAAAGAGTTTTACTAGATTGGAAAAAACGCTTAGCCATAATAGAAGGGATAGCGCAAGGACTTCTATACCTACATAAGCACTCTCGGTTACGAGTCATCCATAGAGATCTTAAAGCAAGTAACATACTCCTTGACAGTGAAATGAATCCTAGAATTTCAGATTTTGGGCTCGCAAAAATATTTACCTTAAATGATACTGAAGGAAACACAAAAAGGATCGCTGGGACATAGTAAGTTTTCTTACAAATTAGTCAATCCTAGCTTATAACCTAAAATGTACAAAAGCTTGACACAAGAGTCTTTTTTACATACTTTCTTTCAGTGGTTATATGGCTCCCGAGTATGCTTCTGAGGGCCTCTTCTCTATCAAATCCGATGTATTTAGCTTCGGTGTATTGACTCTTGAAATCATTAGCGGAAAAAGAACTTCAAGTTCCCATCAATACGGGGAGTTCATCAACCTTCTTGGATATGTGAGTTTTTTTCAATATTTAAATGCCACATGTAAAGTATTTGTTGTGGAGATCCTTATTTTACGAGGGCACAAAACCTTTAGTAATATTCATTTTCTTATGTGTCAATTAATATTTAAGTTGGTTGTGTGCATCCCTGGTTGATGCAGCTGCGAGAAATTTTACTTCCTTTATCTAAAAAGAGTAACCGTTATGTATTTTAATCATTCTCTTCCAGGCATGGCAGTTGTGGAAAGACAGATTATGGCTTCAATTGGTAGACACTTCATTAGGTGCTGAGTGCCATATATCACAGATGATGAGATGTGTTAGTATTGCGTTATTATGTGTGCAAGAGAATGCAGTTGATAGACCCACCATGTCAGAAGTGGTAGCGATGCTATCTACTGATAGTATGGCCCTTCCTGAACCTAAGCACCCAGCATATTTCCATGTAAGAGTGGGAGTTGAAGAAGCATCGTCCTCTGTAGTTGAGTCATCTGATGTTAATGATGTTACAATATCTGCCCTACATGGGAGGTAGTTTTCTGATTTCATTCCAGATCATGTTGAGATAACTTTTAGTATTTTACTCAGTTCAAGGGCTTTATTTTCACTAAACTATGAAATTGTAAATTAGTTAACGGTGAGACACTATTGTAGAATGTTTTTTAATGCTAGACTGCTGGGATTCAAAGACGAAACCTATCAAACAACTGTGCTTGCTTCAGGAGTTCAAGTAATGTGAGCGTTTTATCATTCGGCTCCACAGAGCATAACACCTATATGGAACTTCCGTAGTTCCATACTTCCATTTGGATAAGCACATTTGGAAATTTTGCTGCCAAGATTTTTAGACACACATCTCAGAGTGTTGGAACGGATATATCTGCACCAATTTGCCCACCTTCTGGCAAGAAGCCAGGTGATAGAGCTAGGCCGCATTAGGGCAAAAAGACTTTACATGTTATAGAGCACCAGCATGTGCATGAAATGAAAACCAGGTCATAGCTATAGCTGGACAGCAAGCTTGCTACCTCTGAGGCCTGCCCCTAGAGTGCAGCAACAGAGTGTAGACTACAAGGTACTCGAAACTTGTACAAATTCAATACCAAACTCGGACTTTCATCTTGGACTGCCGCTGCCAACAGGATGGCCCAGTCTGTAAAACCGAATGGTCCAGCTTTCCCAGAAACATCAGTCTTTGTCAGTTTTGGTCGTCAACCAATAACTTTGTATATGCTCCTTCCGTTTTAAATTATAATTCGTTTGACTTTTTTTTTTTGACTCCAAGTATGACTGCTTGTCTTATTTAAAAAATTTGTACGAACATAGTCAAATTTAAATCATTCTTGAAGAACTTTTGTTAATAAATCAAGCCACAATAAAAAAAGGTGATATTGAGCACAAATTTTTGAATAAGACAAGTGGTCAAACTTGAAGTTAAAAAGTCAAACGAACTATAATTTGGAACGGATTTAGTAGTATATTCTTGCTACTTTCCGTAGGCTTGACGGCCGACTAATAACGAATTCATTCGTCGTCCGACGTTAAACTGAGTGGGAGAAAGTGGCAGACTGAGTGGTCAATATTCAGTTGAAGCCAGCTGTGTGGCAAATTGAGGCCTTGACGTACGCAGCGCACAGCAAGGGCGGTCATTTTCAGTTGACGACTTGGATCTGGTGGTAAGTCTACGCCTGATAAGATTGTATGTTCTGGCGTGCAATTGGATTCCAGCTCCCCAACAGATGAAAAGGTGAATGCTCTGCACTCCCTATGGTGCCCCAGCCACATTCCAAGTGATCGACGACGACGACCACTTGGGCTCATATGTGCTCCTCTGCTGCTACTGCTGCTGTGCCGCTTGTGGAAAAGAAGGAATAGAGTGGCTTTCAGGAATGAAAGCGATGACAATGCGATCGAGACTCTTGGACGTACGACTGCTACCTTTTGTGTATTAATATTTCTCATCTTATACCAAGATTAATTCTTCAAGGAAGTCAATGTCCCGTCGGCACATGGTTACCAGTGCAAGATAGGGTTTTGACGGCCGTTGCACGGCAAGTTTGGTTGGTGAGTCGTCGGTGTCACGCCGTATGTAGCCGTTCCCTAGTATCTACTCGGCAGGGAGACAATAGTGCAGCTCCACTCTACATAGACGCATTGTACACAGTACAGGCCTGTTAGACTATTTTTTCAGAGACGGTTCTCTTTTCACCCAGTTATACTACTTTATCTGTGACGCTGGCTAAAATACCGTCTCTGGTATACGCATCTCCTTTGTTGCTTCCTGGCGTAGCGAGGCCCTTGGGTGATATAACCAGCTATCTGCTAGCTCGTCGGCTGAGCAATTCATTCATTCCCACTGCCATGGCCTCGGCTGCAAGCAGCAGCCCGCAGCTCCTCCTCCTCTTCCTCCTCATTTCCACTTGCTTTCTCCCACCACACTGCTTATCCCTAGATGCTAAGGAAGCTGACAACAACACTGTTGAAAAAATAGACTCGTCGGAACTCTCCTTCAGCTTCGACTTCTCCAATGCATCCAGCTACGACGCCGGCGACCTCCGCTTCGAGGGCAACGCCTCGGTGCACGGCAATCTGATCAACCTCGCCTGCGACTCGTTCGGGCAGAGCGTCGACGGCTGCACGGGCCGGATGTCGTACAACCACCCGGTGCCGTTCCACCACGACGACGACGGCACAGCCGCCCTGGCGAGCTTCAGCACAAGCTTCACCTTCGTGATCAAGCCCGACGGCGAGGCCGCGCCCGGAGACGGCATAGCGTTCTTCCTCTCCGGCTACCCATCCAGCATGCCGCCCAACACCGACGGGGGAAGCCTCGGCCTCATGGACAACGACGCCGCGGCCTATGGGTCCGGCCAGTTCGTCGCCATCGAGTTCGACACGTACCAAAACGACGACTGGGGGGATCCCAGCGACAACCACATAGGTGTCGACATCAACACTGTCCGCTCGTCCAACACAACAGATTTGAACACCGCATCAGGATCGCCAAGCCTTAAAGTAAATGCCACCATGACAGCGACGATCCAATTTAACGGCACCACCGGGATGCTGGTTGCCTCCCTTCGGTTTCATGACCATCCCTCTATGGAACCCGCTGTGGTCACTTATGTCTTGCAAGATCCAAAGTCGTGGCTTCCGCGGGAAGTGGCAGTGGGGTTTTCAGCAGGCTCCGGCACTTCCACTGAGCTCCATCAGATACTCGCATGGTCCTTCAAGTCCACCCTTGCTGCTCCGCGCTCACCTAAAGGTACTCCCACTGTTTGAGGGTATAGTTATATTTAGGTTGGTTCTAAGTCAAATATTTTTAATTTTGACTATGAATAGCGAAAAAACATAAAGATTGAGAACATAAAAATTACATCAATAGATCCATCGGGAGACCCACTTTTATAATATGCAACTTTTTCAATTTAAAATAAACTATTTTTGGAGTTATTGTTGGTCAAAGATATAAATGTTTGACTTAGGACAAACATAAACGTAGCTATATTCTGGGATAGAGGGAGTACTTATGACCACTCCATGCACTCCTTGTTCTTTCATAAGCACTAATAAGGTTGGGTTTTCTTTTTGGACCTTTTACGACACTTATTAAGGCGGTAATTACATGACATTTGAGATTTTTCAAGTGTTTCTTTAAACTATAGGGCTATTGTTTATCTCACAAGACACGCTAGAAAAAGAAAAATCTTAAAAATTCTCACAAAAACTAAAAACACCCAGCCATAAATTTGGAAGTCTCTAATCATCACTCATAATAATAGCCATTAAATATATTACTTTTATAAAAATTACCTCACCTCTACCAATCTAAAAACAGTCTAAATTAGCTCTCTAAATCTATATCTAAATTGACCATCTCTACCATTATAAAAACTTAATCTATAGTGAGCCCCTTATCTTCATCTCAATTACCTATGTATGTCCTAGTTAAAAAAAAGGTAAAAAAAGGATTGATGCACTAGTTAAAAAAAGATTAAAAACAATATATCAATGCAACAATTTTTGGACAAACTTGTTAACCTTAGGATGTTTTACCTACTAAACAATGATTATTTTGCACAAATATTGGGTGTAGATTTATTTGGACATCCTATGTCCAAAGATAGTCCCTTATTTTAGGTTTCTTGGGTCTACAATGAATTTGAACCATTAAAACTTTGGTCTAACTCTATTGCATGCCCAAATGGTCAAATTATCTAATTAATCAATTAACCAATTGATTTTTTGTTTATTATCATGGAAGGACGACAAAAGGATAATTATGCCAAACGCAAGAGCAAAGTTCTGGCCACTGCCGTGGTTGCTCCTATACTTGCATTGTTTATCTGCAGCATTATTTCATTCAAATTCATCAAAAAGCACAGAAAAGGTCAGCAATCTACCAAAAAGTCTCATTGAAAATACTTCTGTCTCAAGACATCGAGATTCTATTTTGTTACAACGCTATAGCATCATCAACTTTGACAGAAAGCATCACACCCAACATTGATTCTAGGTACAAGTTCACAAGATAAGGAAGAAGATGAAGCACTAGTTTGGGTGGCAGGACGGAATTCTGAGTTCACGGTTTATGACTTTTTGCAAGTCTTGGAGGCTACAAATAACTTCTCAGAAGAAAATAAACTTGGGCAAGGAGGATTTGGTCTAGTATATAAGGTAAGATAGAAGAAAAAAACATATGCATTGAGAACCCAAAACATATAGAAAACAAACCAAGTAGAGGACTAGTCTTAGGCCATGTTTGTAATGAAAGGGAGGTTTTCCCTAATACTTTCTCTTATTAAACTGCCAAATTTCTAGTTCCATACAGGCCTTTAAACGTTATGCAAATAAATGTACTTTTGCGTATTGCCTTCGTCGGAAGGTTAATCAATTGTCACAAGACAGCTAAACTCAAAGATATATCATTGACAAAACTCTTTTGAACTTCTCTATAGGGCCGATTTCATGATGGATTGGAGATAGCCGTTAAGAGACTAGCTTCACATTCAGGGCAAGGGTTCAGAGAGTTCAAAAATGAAATCGAGCTCATAGCCAAGCTCCAACACACAAATCTGGTGAGGCTCTTGGGATGTTGCTCTCAGGGTGACGAGAGGTTACTAATCTACGAGTATATGCCAAATAAGAGCTTGGACTTCTACATTTTTGGTAGTACTTCTAAAACATACCATAATACAAGCTGTGTTTAGCGCTGACAGCTAAAGGCTTTTATCTTATATGTGTATGCTTAACTGATTTGCAGATGAAATACAAAGAGTTTTACTAGATTGGAATAAACGTTTGGCCATAATAGAAGGGATAGCGCAAGGAATTCTGTACCTGCATAAGCACTCTCGATTACGTGTCATTCATAGAGACCTTAAAGCAAGCAACATACTCTTACACCATGAAATGAACCCTAAAATTTCAGATTTCGGGCTCGCAAAAATATTTGGCTTAAATGATACTGAAGGAAACACAAAAAGGATAGTTGGGACATAGTAAGTATTCTTACAGATCAATCCATCCTAGCCTAAAAACCTAATATGTACAAAGTTTGACATCAGAGGTTTTTTCTATATACTTTGTTTCAGTGGTTATATGGCTCCTGAATATGCTTCTGAGGGCCTCTTCTCAATCAAATCCGATGTATATAGCTTTGGCGTATTGACTCTTGAAATCGTCAGCGGAAAAAGGACTTCAAGTGTCCATCAATATGGAGAGTTCATCAACCTTCTTGGACATGTGAGTTTCTTTTTTGAATATTTGAATACCATATGTAAAGTATTGAAGCTAGCCTTGGTTTTTAACCACCATCTACACCAATATTACTCCTCCACATTGTTCACTATTCCCTTGTTTTATGAGAGCACAAAAGCTTTAGTAATATTCTTTTTTCTATGTGTTAATTAACTTTTATTGTTAGTTCTGTGCATCCCTGGTTTATGTGGATGCTAGAAATTTGCATCCTTTATTTAAAAATAGCCTTTATGTATTTTAATCATTCTCTTATAGGCATGGCAGTTGTGGAAAGATGGATTATGGCTTCGGTTGGTAGACACTTCATTAGGTGCTGAGTGCCATACATCACACATGATGAGATGTATTAATATTGCGTTGTTATGTGTGCAAGAGAATGCGGTCGATAGACCCACCATGTCAGAAGTGGTAGCGATGCTATCTAGTGATAGTATGGCCCTGCTTGAACCTAAGCACCCAGCATATTTCCATGTAAGAGTGAGAATTGAAGAATTGTCCTCTATAGTTGAGTCATCTGGTGTTAATGATGTTACAATATCCGCCCTACATGGAAGGTAGTTTTATGATTTCATTACAGATCATGTTGAGATAACTTTTAGTATTTTGCTCTGTTGGGCTTTATTTTCTCTAAAATCTGAAATTGTAAATTAGTAATGGTGAGACACATTGTAGATTGTTTTTTTTTAATGCTAGACTGCTGGGATTCAAAGACAAAATCTATCAAACACTGTGCTTGCTTCAGGAGTTCAGGTCATGAGCATTTTATCATTCGGCTCCGCAGAGCATAACACCTGTGAAACTTCCATATTTCCATACTTCCATTTGGATAAGCGCATTTGGAAAATTTTGCTAGCAAGATTTTTACATGCACATCTCCAAGTGTTAATAGAAAATACTCACAAGAAACCTTGTAATCTAATTAGAGAAGACTAGCTTCGGATGATTGGATCCAACCTGACGCCTTTGGATCCCATTGTTGGAAGCAGATATATACGCACCAACTCATCCGCCTTGAGGCAAGACGCCAGGTGGTAGAGCTGTGCCACATTAGGACAAACATATTTTATAATTTAGGGCGGGCAGAAGCCTCGATACCGGAACTGACAAGACACCCCACCCACCAGAGTGCACTCATACAACCACTGCTTAAGAGGCACACAGGAATTTGCACTGCAACAATCCAACAAATGATTTTCTGTTGTCACCAACACCAGAACGTACCGATAATTGACTAATAATAACTAAAAGCTTGAACTGCATGCATTATTCACACGTCACAAAACTATTCTCAGCGTACCACACTTCTTGACAGATCAATCGAACTTTCGTGCACTTCATATCCAGAGCTGTAGAATTCTATCGAAGTGAACGTCAGCAGCTGAATCAATCCTTCACCAACTTTCTGGCAAGAAACATGGGAAAGAACAACACAGCGACCTCAGGGCTATGTGAAGAGGATAGGCTGAGTGCCCCTTTGGAACACCAGATTTTTCATAGGAATCATGTAGGGATTTTATAGAAATCAGTTTAATACTTCAATTTTACATGAAAAACGCAGGATTCAGGAAACTTTTCGCATTGCAAAGGAGGCCTGAGATTGTGAGGCGTAGAGCGTGGCAGAAAAAAGGAGTGACGTTAGAACCCAAGTGTTTTGATGATATAAATGCCTTTGTAACACTAACTGAATTCTGCATTATTATTGAGTAATACAATAAAATTCTATTCAGGTTCTTTTTTCCCAACATATGGAGATCATATTGCTACTTTTTTTTTTTTCTCGAATAGCTTTTTTTTCTCTTAATCTATTGCATTAAGAAAAAAACAAATTGCTACTTTTTCTTCATTTACTACTGTTGATTTTCTATCTATTAGTTATATTAGGTATATACTCTTTGATTTAATAATCCTAAACCGTTAGATCATCATAAATCTATGATATAGATTTTTTTTATTAATGTGAAAAGTTTTAAACAGCGTGATGGCTTCCTTTTAATATTAATGTAACGGTAAGCCTAGCGCCCGAATGTCCGGCACTAGGTCTACGTCCAGACGCGGCTCCCGTTCGACGCACCCGTCGCACACCCTCATGTAGGCTGCACCCGCGCAACAGGAGAGCGCCCGTCCACCGCGCCCACGTCACCACGCGCCTGCGCCCCTGCTCCCAAACCGCGACGCACGGAGCACACTCCGCCCAGCGCCCATCCCACTCCGAAGGCAGCGTCCGTCCGTACGGAGCTCCCTCGCTTGCGCCCGACGCACACAACTCCCTCGTCCCGCGCCCATCACCCATCCCTCGTTCGTATGGATGCCCTGCCGGCTTCGGGAGAGACGATGCAGCAGAAGGTGGGAGGAGGAGAGATACAACACTATAACACCCTAGGTGTTACGAACTTAATAAAACCTTGATCATTATCATCATGCATAAGCATTGTGGCATAAATGCATTCCATGTTTCATTTATAGCAAATATATGTTGCATATATGATGTTTCGTATGTTGCATGAAATGTTAACAATGTTAATGTTTAAGGTTCTTTGTGAATTTATATATGTGAAGTTGCTTAAACAAATAATTTTTTGCTAAAATAAACTTTTTAGTACAAAGTGAGTGCTTTCATGTAGAATCAAAATATGATGGTGTTTCTAAATTAAATATGTTGTAATTGGACTCCAAAGATTGAATTTAATGTTGTTTTTCCCTCCCTTAGCATTTTTTGCTAAGTCATGGAAATCAGTGCTAAGTTCAAACTTTGGTGAATTAATAAATGAATTTTCATAAATAAAAGTTGTCCAAGTGTTGTTCCATTGTTTGGTATGATGTGTGTGCTTTGATAATGAGTGATTGGTTATGATGTTTGATCAATAATTAGTTGTTAATAAATTGCTCAAAGGTTACTAAGCAAAACTATTTTTCAAACCCTAACTGAAGATCAGTGGTTTAGTTTCGAGGTACCCATGTTCTTCACCCTAGATCTCTCTAACCAGCTAGAATTAGAAGATGATTCTTTAAGCAATGTTGGAGAGGACATCAAGATGAACAACTTTCATTTTTGGAGCTGATCAAATTTCTACATGAAATCATGAGAAAAAGGAAGAACCTGTCAGATATGAACAGTACCCCGGTGCCGTCCCTCTCTTTTCTCCCTCTCTCTGTTCACCGGCATACGTCGTGGCCGCCGCGGCATTTCTCGCCCGTGGACGCGCGACTGTCTGCGTGGCCGAGCTCGCGAAGGTGCTACCAACGTCGTGACGTCGCCCTCGCCTTTAAATACCCCACGCCGACAGCCGTCTTGCTCTTTTTCTCTTTCAGCGTCGCCGCCGTGCACCTCAGTTCGCCGGCAAAATTCACCGCCCTCACTTCACCTCCGCCCGCTCCATCTCAAAGCCAGCTCTGCCTCATTCGTGCGCTTCGCCTGAGCCCGCTCGCGCCGCCTCTTTCCGCCGGAGTTGGCCAGAGGCCATCATCTTCCTCGCGACCGTCCACCATCACCGCCGTGACCACCTTACCATGGCCAGACCGCTCGGGTGGGTCTCTCGCCCATCTCTCTTTTGCTCTAGTTTTTACTTGATGCCGTGGTGGTGATCGGCTTATCCTTTTTATCGCTACCATGCAGGACGCGCCGGAACGCCGCCGTCTTCTCCAGTTCACGCCGCCAGATCCGCCCTTAACGCCGGCAACGCACCTCCGTTCTGTCTCCGCTTCAACCAAGTAGTCGAGTGTTGTCGGTGTTTCAAACAAACACCAGCTAGTAAATTTATATTTGTTGCGCGTTAGGCTCTGATGGTGTACTAAAGGACATAAGGTTTATATTGGTTCAGGCAGAATGTCCCTACGTTTAGTTTGTTGCTGCTTGTGTTATTAGTACCGAAAAAGGTTTGTAGTAGGGGGTACAAACGGTGGAGAGAGGGATAGGTTCCAAGTCTCCGATGGAAGGGTCGAAAGGATGCCAAGAGCTCATTTGCTGCTTGGCCGTGTGTTGTGTGATGTGTTGTGTATGAAATCGATCTGTCCCCTTAGTGGGGTGTCCTGCCCTCCCTTTTATAGACCAAGGGGGGAGCGGGGGTTACAGATGGGAGAAAGAGGAAAAAACCAAAGGTAGAGAAGGTCCTTCGAAGGTGTCGGGTCTTCCTTTTCCCTTGAGCCTGCCCTGCTGACATAGGAGACCACGCCAAGGAAAGCATGTTTCGCTGATCCTGATAGGGACAGGCTCTGGCTTCATTTTAGCGAGTGGTCACGTCCCATCCTCCCCCGATGGATGGTGCGGTGTGTCAGGGTGCCGAGTCGTGACTCTGCGGGGAGTAGACGGGGAAGTGACTATACGCCGTTACTGTTGATGACGTGAGTTCCCTCTTGGATTGTAGTGGTTGTCATATGCTCATGTTAGGATCCGCGCCCGAGGGCTAATGGTGGCGCCCACAACACTGTAAGACCAAAGTCGGCGCCTACAACACTGTTCGGGCTCTACCATGGCTGGAAGGGCTTAACGCGCCCGTCCCGTCGTATCTTGACGGTACTTTTCTATAGGCGTGTAGGGCATGGTCCTCGGTACTGCGGTTGACTCGAATGTCCTATCTTACCTCTCGTCATCATGAAGGAGCAGGGCGCAGTCGTCGAGCGAGGCGGAGCCTGCCCTCAGCCGTCGGGCGAGGGGGAGCCTACCCTTAGACGTCAGGCGAGGCGGAGCCAGCCCTCCGCCGTCGGGCGAGGTGGAGTCTAGCCCTCGGGGGAAGAGCGAGGCAGAACCAATCTTCCGTCGTTCGGGCAAGAAGTGTAGTAGCGTTCTTGTCTGACCGAAAGCATCAACGTTCAATGGTTATTAGCTCCACCTCATTGGGTGCCCCAGTATTAGGTCCCCGACAGTAGCCCCCGAGCCCTCGGGTGATTTGGATAGAATCACCCGGGGGGTATTTTGATTCGCCAGAGGGTGCGCGCGAGCGCACCCGTAGGGTGTAGCCCCCGGGTGAGTCGGATAGAATCGCCCAAGGGGTATTTTCGATTCGCCAGAGGGTGCGCGTGAGCGCACCTATAGGGTGTAGCCCCCGAGCCCCAGGGGGATTCGGATAGAATCGCCCGGGGGTATTTCGATTCAGGGTGCGCGCGAGCGCACCCATAGGGTGTAGCCCTCGAGCCCTCTGGTGATTCGGATAGAATCGTGGGGGTATTTCGATTCGCCAGAGGATGCGCATGAGCGCACCCATAGGTTGTAGCCTCTGAGCCCCCGGGTGATTCGGATAGAATCGCCCGGGGGGTATTTCATACCCTTCACGGGTATGACTATGAGATTTGGTGTTTTGACAACTGGATAGCTTAAAGGAAACCCTGGTATCCCGTTCACGGGGATTCGTCTAGGGTCAGCCCGGTTGGGACTCAATTGCAGATTGAGGCTCCCTTAAGGCTCGTGCGCCTGAGTTCTAGCCATTCGCGGGCCCATCCCTCGTTGGGACAGCCATCAAAACTGTTGGGCCAGCCCTCGAACTCCTAGACCCAGGCAGGCTAGAGAAATGCTTTTTGACCCGTACCCCCTCTGTGGGAAAAGAGTCCTGGTTTGCTCAGGAAGG